TTGGCATATATATATATATATATATATAATGTCTCCATTCTCTCTTCTCTTATTTTCTTCTCTAACACCTTTTGACAAAGCTGTTGCAAGTCATCAAATCAAGCTATGATTACAACTCAGAACTATACTGTATTTGTATTTGTAACTATTTGAATGAAAAAGTGTTAGGGTTAGTGTGTTAATGTGTGAGAAAACACGTTCTTGTCAGCCAAAAGGGTGCACCATAACACAAAATAAGTCTCAACCAACTGTAACAAAGCTCACACAGTCAGATATACGTCTCAACTTGCAGAGTTTTTCTGTTTGCAACATCTTTAAAGAGTTTCATATTCAGTCAGCAAAAGCAAAGTAGCCAAAAATAATAATGAAACAGATTTTGACTGTATAACCAGGCACTAAAAACGGTAGTGAATTTTAATAGATTAACCACACAGTGTACTTTTATATACTCTTACTGTACAGCTGCACAGACATTCATTATGTAATATTTGATAGTTTTTGGTTTAAATGATACATTGATGTAGATTTATTTCTACCTCTTTCACTTTATTATAACTTAAGTAACGTTACATGTGTTCTAATCTTTGCATAATCTCAACTGCACATTCAAAATCAGCAGTGTGCCGCAATAATAATTTTTCTTTACACAATAACAACAATGGTATGTTTGGTTCTCACTATTGGCCACTTGTTCTTGAAGCTGTATGTTGAATACTTGTGCCCAAACTATGGAGTAATACAAATTGGGAAGTGCCAAATCGTGTTCAATGAATACTTGTTGATTTTTATTCTTCTTAACTTAAATGCATATTTTGCAATTTGAGTCATACTTTTGTTGATTTCAGACTGCCTTTATTACAGGCAACGTACAGGTGTTTGTTAAAGTAGACTTGTTTCAATATAAATTAGCAACTAAAGCATTTTATAGCATTTGTGCACAGAACTGGCAATTGTACCCATTCCTATACATGAAAAAATAGATAGGGGCCAAATGTATTCCCGGTAAGAATGCTACTTTGCGTTTATTGTATGATGGCTCCTCGGTGTTCCAATATTATCACAATACATCACACGGAGGACAGACATCCTTCGCTGCCGTTTCTCGACATCACTTTGTTCGTCTCATGAATAAAATATCAAAGCGGAGTCTGTTTGCAGAGCTGGGGAGTTGAGAAGTATTGTTGTGTTGACACTTGGGCTGTCTCTTTACCTCCCACTCTCGCCCTCACTCTGGATGCTTCTGGCTGTCTGCCTCCATTTGAAATGCTAATAGATTTCTTGGTGAAAAACTGTCCTCTTCCTCTACGATAGTCCTCTCTGCCCACAGACTCATCTCTCTTATGGCCTTCCTTCATAGCTTTATCACCTTTTCATACGTAAGCATCGGTTCACTTGTCAACAAAAAAACGGCTCTAATAAAAGATCTAACTGGTGCACATATAAACAAAGTGGTTGCTCAGTCACCATTGCCAGAGTGTCAGATTTGCTCAACTTCATTCTTTGATCATTTGCTTACAATATCACAATGGTTAGCACAGGTACACTGCTCAATATACTGCATACTATATTACTACAATTCTACAACACAGCTTCATACCATGTCCAAAGGAATTTTAATATCCAGTTTTGAGCTAAAAGGTAATTTTAGTGGGAAGAAACCCCCAGGTGAATAGGGTAGAAAATTGTAACTAATAGAAATCACCATTTCCCCAGTTGTTTTTTGTATTACATGTTTTCTAAAAAAAATGTTTAAATGTGCAAATGAGGCATTATCTTCTGATTAATTAAGAATAAATCTACAGATGCAAATAAACAAATAAAATAGACACTTAAATGGGGAATTTTAGATGTTGTCTTTCCACCAGTCTGAAGAGGAAGTGTTTTGGAAGTAAAACAGCCCAAAATCTCAAAATTGAACAGTGTATGAAAAATTAAGTTTTCCCTTTAGTGTCTTGGCTTGACTATATTTCGTCAGGCTATATGAGTGGGCCAGAGCTGGTAACCATAATGTATACATTTGTGGAACACAAAGTCTTACAGGGTAAGCTGTTTAAATTTCATTAATTTAATCACTTGAAAATCTATAGACATGAAATTTTAGACGAGATGGATTCACTCAACAGATCTGCTAGCTTACTAACTACCTAATTCATAGATTAATTGGCATTGCATCATGTTGAGGTTGTACAATTTTAGAAGAATGCATTTGCTTGCTGAAAAATGTTATGGCTGCACAAAAACAGAATGTGTTGTACCAGCATCAATTTATGTTCACAATATCACTTTATGTTTTGAATGACCTGACATACTGTGGTTCAGGCATTTATTACGGTAATGATTTGTTGTTTATGTATGTAAATGAATCTTCCCTTTCCCTTTATTATGTCTTTAATGTAGGAACTCAAACTGAACCCTGGAAAACAAGTAAAGATCCATCCATTAATCCATCATGATGTTTGTGGGAACTTCTTTGGGTAGCAATTCCTCCTCCCCTATCCCAACCCACAGCCCCAGTCCTGATCGCCAGTCAGACGGTCCGTCCCTCGCTCTCCTGCCTCAGTCCCCTCCATACTGGGCAACGCAGGCACGGTGGGATCTTGCACAGGCAGAGGCAGAGATACGTCGCCTACAAGAGCGTCATGCAACCGAGACAGACACTGTGAAGCGGGGTGTAGAGCGGGCCATCCTGGGAGCTCGCAGAGAAGAGCGGCGCCTGCTAGAAAGGGTGGAGCAAGACCATCGGGACACTCAGCAGCATCTAGAGCAGATCCAGAGAGAGAACATGGCAGCCGCACGGGTCAGCCAGTCCCTGTTAGACCAAAGGCTCCGTAAACTTTCTCAACTTCAGCAGCGGACTCAGCAGGTAGGTCAACAGTCATGTCCAGATGATGGTGGGCCAAACCAGCAGCTGAAGGACGTTGCAGAGTTCCTACAACCATGGGAAGTCTCAGTTTCCCTAAAGAAAGTCAATTTCAAACCCAGCTCCCAACCTAATGCGGTCAACTTCGGAGATATTAGCGTGCAAGAAAAAAGCCTGTGCCTGCACGTCGGAGGTTGCGGGCCACAGGGGCAGCTGTGTGTTCTCCATTCACAGGAGATGCGGTGTGAAGACGCAAACCATCAAGGTACTGGAGGAGAGAAAAGCACCCTAGGACAGGGGTGGACCTCACCAACAGGCAGGGTTGTCAGGAAAATCAGTCTTTCTACCCGGAGTGATCTGGAATCAGAAGAGGAACAAAACCTCTCCACAACAAACATAAGTCGCTGGCTTCCTAAGTGTGAGCAGTCGGACTGGGAGTCATCCCAGGATGACGAGATGGAGTCAGGCGCTCTTCAGCCACAAGGCGAGGACATATTTTTGGCTGTCCCTACAGTACTTAAAAACATGGACACTGAAGGCAAGGAGCAGGTGTACAAGATGAATGGTAATGCTAAACACTTCTCTCCCAGGAATCCGAGGAAAACGATAACTGTGGTCTCTGGTAGGAAGCCGTCCCCCTCGCCTGAACGTAGAGTGGAGTATGCTAAGCTAAGTCACTGCTTGAGTTTATACAGCCAGGGTGGAGGTAAAGGAAAAGTGAGTCAAGAGTCCAATAGTAGACCTTTGAAGTACAGTAACAGTGCCCTCAGATCTCCCAAGATGACTTCAAAAGAGCCTCTGACCAGTCAAAGCTGCCTAGACCTCACTTCCAGAGGCCGACCTCAGTCTCGACTCAGCCAGTCGTCTGATGAACACTCTCTCGGGCCCCATGGTGATAATGGCCGAGCACCATCCCCAACAGACAGCCTTGACTCCAGCTATACTTTCATTGTTAGCCCACCTCATGACTACAGCTTGAACAGAGGCTCTTTGAACTACAATTGTCGTCTATCAAAGTCTGCAGTGGACTTGACACACAAGACTCGCCCGATGATCATTGGTGGGACGACTGAGCACCTCGGAGAGTGGCCCGTGAAGTGTAATAACCATATCTCCATGTCGAGCTCAACGTCCCCAACTCTTAGTAGGAGGCGAAGGGTCTCTGACATGGGGCACACCCCAACGTACCCTACATATAGAAGTTATAATATTCTGCACAAGCCACAGAAAAAAATTACTGTGACTGCCTCAAAACAACCCCTGGTGGCTAGGTCTTTATCCATGTCTGTCATTGATGGCTCTTCTCAAGAGCCAAAGAGAGGGAGAGGAGAGAGAGGAGAGCCAGCCCTGGTGGAGTTGGAGGAGGAGGGAGACTCGTCCTTGACAGTATTCAACCCCAGAGGAGTCCATCTGATCAGGCAGTTTGGGAAGCAGGGTTCTGGTAGAGCTGACCTTACGCTGCCAAGTGGTATACATGCCACACCACAGGGCCTACTCTATATAGTGGACTGTGGAAATGCACGTGTTCAGGTATGTGTTGTGTCAAACGTCTTTCAGACACGTACAACATACAGTGTGTGTACTATAGCAAATTAAATTGCCAATGTTAAAACTGAATCTAACTTTGAAACAGGTGACTGACCTTCGGGGGAATATCCTCCAGCAAGTGACCTCCCCAACTTCTGACGGCTCTGCAAGAAGATGTCGGAACTACTTCGATATTGCCGTCAATGCTAAGGGTTTGATTGCACTTAGCTGTGCAGCAGAGCGGGCCCTGCTTGTCTTCAGCCGGCATGGTCGCCTACTCCAGACCTTTGGTGGGTCAGGGTTGGGCTCTGCAAAAGATGAGCTTGAGGCTCCCAGGGGCGTGACCATAACCAGACTGGATGAGTTCTTGGTAGCTGATATCCGGAAAGGTAGCCTCATTGCCCTGAAGCTTGACCCTAAAACAGGCTCCCGTCTAGAGCGCACAGTGGTGACTGGATTCCACCGGCCTTACTTAGTGGCAGCTTGCTCAAGCTCAGGCATGGTAGCTGTGTCCGAAAGGGGCAATGAAACAGGCCATGTGCCTTGCATCAAAGTGCTGGAGCCAGGCTGGAACACAGTGAGAGTTTTAGGTATATGTGCTGGTATGGGACCAGTCCTCGCCTGTCCCTGGGGCATCTCTATAGATACAGATGGTAACGTGCTGGTAGCGGACTGGGGGGAGCAGCACAGAGTCCTGTTATACCCAGCACAGGGAGTGGGGTGGCCGATAGTGACCCAGGGCTTGAGTAGTCCACGTGGACTGGCCCTGCTACCTGAGGGCCAACTCGCTGTGTCCAACAGCATGCACCATTGCATTAAGATATACCAGTACAAAGTGACCCAGGACTAGAGAGCGTGACTTGATGTTTAAAACCACCATCACAAAACTATGGTGAGGTAACCAATCACACCTGAGATGTTGGGTGCATTTATTCTTAATCATTTTAGTAATTTCACAGCATAACTGCAACTACAATCAGATGCAACTTCTGTGCCGATACTGTAAACTTCACTTGTGAAACTCAACTGAATTTAGGCTGACAAGCGATGTATTGGTGTCTGGTAAAGCTCAGGGGTCGGCAACCTTTTTTATATGAATTGCCGTTTGTTCTTGTAAATCAGCCATATTAAACATTAATATAAATTAGTGCTGGGCAAGTTAACACGTTAACGCATTAATTAATTAACGCCGACAATTATTTCATTGCGCGTTAACGCAGTTTTTTAAAATTTATTATTAAGCGGACATTTTTAACACAAGAACCGGGCAGCGAGCGGTGAACAGCTGTGTTTGTGTGGCGTCACTTCCTTCTGCTGCCGCTCTCCCCCCACCGGGTGACACGCCAGATCCGGAGCCCCCCTTCACTCCGTCACCGTCGTCCCCTCCTGTTGGTCTCTCTCTCTCTCTCACACACACACACGCGCGTTACAGGATCGTGACAATATCAAAATACATATTGTCGTGTTTTTGAATGAACATATAAGCACGTGAGAACAAACTGCTCTTAACTACAACTCTTTATTAGGATAACTTCCTCATGCAGGTTACTGCCACTGTACAGACTACAGGTTCCATGCTTCACCTACATTCCCCTGGGTCCTAAGTCCCTCCAGGTACAGCTTCTTATCACCCTCTATGTACCAACGTACATTTATAACAAATACCACACATATTACGGTAATCAGCGTTGCATATGTGTCTGACCCAAAAAAGAAATGATTATTTTTTTCGAGTTTTTAAAGTGTTTTGTTTGGAATATATATAATAAGCATATCATTTAGTTATCACTACTGAGAATTTAACAAACATAAAAACCATGACGTAGATAGGTTTTAAGTTTTCAAGGTGTATATTTAGGGCCCGAGCACCGACGTAGTCGGAGCAGAGGACCTATTGTTTTTCGATTGTTTATTATTAGTAGGGCCCGAGCACCGACGTAGTCGGAGCGGACGACCTATTGTTTTTCGATTGTTTATTGTTATTATTATTAGGGCCCGAGCACCGACGTAGTCGGAGCGGAGGACCTATTGTTTTTCGATTGTTTATTATTATTATTATTCTTCTTATTCTTAGTGTTTCGTCGCAAAAAGGAGGTGCTTGGGATACTGGGAAAATGTCGAAATTTGGCACGCAAGCCAGAATTTGCGAAAATTGCAGTCTGATTGGGGTGTCCAACTGCGGTATGAAATATTGGCTCGATAGCACCCCCTATTGAGTAGCCCCAACATTGGGTTTCACCTAGCTGTATGAAATTTGGTAGGTATGTGGAACGTGATGAGACGCACAAAAAATCCTCTTGGAGTTTTTCATTAAACCAAACAGGAAGTCGGCCATTTAGACTTTTATGATGTTTTTTGACCATTTCAAGGCGTCATACTTTAACGAACTCCTCCCAGAGATTTGACCCGATTGACTTCAGATTCGGTTAGTATGCTCTTGAGACCTTGGCAGTGAAAAGTTATTCAAAGATCAAAAAGTTGTCGAACTATGTGTCTGTGGCGCGGCGTCAAAAAAACACCATTCGCCGCGAAACAGGAAGTTGTTGTAACTCGGCCATACATTGTCTAATCTGCTCCAAATCTCTCTTATGTCATAACATCCTGACCCGGAACACATCTATATGACAATTTAGAATCATAGTAATAGTGCCACCTAGTGGCAGCTGGAAGTTGTAAGTTGTGTACTTTGACATCCTGCTCCTCACAGATTAATCAGATCCCTCTAAAATGTTGTCAGAACAGCCTTAAGACCTTGATAATGCTTCATTGTGAAAATTGTAAGAAGTTGTTGAAGGGCGGCGACGTGGCGGCTCGGCGAATTTCGATCCTTCGCCATGAACGAATAAACTGATGTAACTCGACTCCACATCATCAGATCTTTACCAGATTTCACATGTTTGATTAGACTCCAGGCCTGAAGACATCTGCAGGCCAATTTTGAATCATAGTCATAGCGCCACCTACTGGTAACAGGAACTTAAAGTCTTTATACTTTGGCTTGTTTCTCTTAGTAGGTAAATCAAATCAACATCAAATTACTTCCACACAAATGTAAGAAGTTCATAATACCAGTTCATGAAGCTTTTGATGTTTCGTCCAACGCCGTTGCCATGGCGACGCAGTCTTCGCCGTGAAAAACGAAGGTAATTTTGAGAGGCTAAAAATGCTTGAAACATAAGCAAACTTGGCGAACAGATTTAAAGCCCAAAATGTAGTTATGTAATATGATTTTATTGGTTCAGAGTGGCAAATCGGCTCAATAGCACCCCTACAACATTTCGACGAAGCAGCCCTCACTGTACGTTTCACATAGATTTACAAAATTTGGTAGGCACATGTATCACATGTGGACTTAAAATAAAGTCTCTTGGGACCATGCTCTAAACCCAACCGGAAGTCAGCCATTTTGAATTTTGTATGAATTTCTCGTGTTTTTCTTCCATTTCCAGGTGCTGTACTACGAACTCCTCCTAGGGAATTAATCCGATCAGCTTAGAATTTGGTCAGAACAATCTAAAGACCTTACCGATTAAAAGCTTTAGGTTTCATCCAACGACGTGGATATGGTGTGATGGCCATTTTACATGGTTCGCCATCATCCATCAAGCTGTTGTAACTCGACTGTACTTTGTCAAAACTGTCCCAAACTTGACATGCTTGATTACGGTCATGATTTTAGGACTTCTGCATGCCAATATTAACTAATAGTCATAGCGCCACCTACTGATAAGCACGGACGTAAGCAGGATTCTATAATTACAGCGGCCCAAACACTGACCTTATTGAAAGGGTTTGTGGGCACACCATGAGAAAAAGACTTCTCTGATCTAAATATGTGCATAGTAAGATCCTTGGAGAGCAAACGTTAGATAACAGTGGATTTTCAAACCATGTCAGTGGGCATTAGTATAAATGATCTGTCCAGAGCTTCTTCATGACAATCAGGTTAAACGTTCACACTACAATCTAAAGTTACAGAAGAACTTAAAATGAAAACAGTGTTAAATTAAAGTGTTCAAGTAACAGCAAATGGCACTACTGTTTTGTTAACTTTCATGTAAGTCCAAATACAATCAGCAGGACACTGCAGGGAGTTGAACCCCATCCCAGTAAACTGACAGTCTGTTATGTTACAAACACTGAAGCACATTCACACACATTCATTTTCTTAATGATCTTTAAAGGCTTACATTTATGATTGTATCGGAGGTACACTCAAAACATTTGAGGCTTAAGACCTGGCAACATGATCTTGCTACGCTGCTGCTCGACGCAGGAAATATCATCTAACTCGTGCACGCATTGTATGATGGTCACAGAAATGCACGGCCGCGTCACCCAGAGTCCTGCCAGTACCAGGAAATACCGTTTAACTCGTGCACGCAATTTATGATAGTCACAGAAATGCATGGCCAGAGTCCTGCTAGTACCCTCGACGTGGGTGAAGTTGCGAGGGCCCGATCAATGCTGCTCGCAGCTTTAATTCAAATTGCATCTCTTACACACATGAAGATAAAGTTGTGAACACCGGCTGAATATCTAGTATCAGAATCATTTTAACTGTATTTTAACTGCTACTGTGTAAAGGGAATACTGCTGTTAAAAATAACCTTATTTGTTTAAAGTGTTTGCAAACCAAATGTTATTGCACTTTTGTTCAGATAGCAGTACTTTTAAAATAAAAGTGCACAATACACTACTTTTGAATTCATTATTGAACTTTGCGAATAACAATGCGATTAATCGCGATTCAAAATTGTAATCGTTGCCCAGCACTAATATAAATATTACATTTAATTATGACATCACATCAAAATGGGAATCACCAAAGGATCTGCAATTTCCATCCATACTGGCAACGTGCATAGCAGCAATTTAATTTCCCCCATAATCAGGACATTGTAATAATCTCTGCTAGAGGATCATTACCTATGCCAGGAAAATCATGGAATCAATCACGTGTGTGTGTCTGTGTGCTTCCGTGAGTGAGTGAGTGAGTGTGCACCTATGTGTCTGTCCACGGCTAATCTGGTATTCTGCTCCAGCAAACTGCATAATATTTAGGATGGCCAGTTATGGCTCAAGCACCTCTCGTGACTGTGGTTGCTCACACTATCTCAAAACTATTTTTATTGCCATTTTTATACTGCCAGATCTGCACTCTACTGAGTGCACTTTTAAAAGGATATGAGAGCACTACATATGAAGGCTGCCATCCTAATGAAGACATCCACATTTAAATTAAAATCATTAACCCTGCCAACCTTTGCTTCCACAAATCTTGTTAATCAGCAATAACAAATTCTGCGAAGAACAAGTACTAGCCAATCAGAGGCAGATTAGAAAAGGTCTTTGCGGATTGGGGAAAAAAAATTAACTGATCAAACCGTTTCTCGCTTGTTCTGTCATCCACACACCCAAAATAAATCAACCACACTACTATAAATAACAGGTTGCAATGACTGCCAATGGCTGTGAAAGAGGTTATTTGGCATGCGGGCGAGAAGGCACTTATTAAAAACTCTCTTGCAGACTTATTGCTAGTGTGCCATCAGCTAAGATCCCACGTGCCAAGGGCCTGAGGTTGCCTACCCCTGTTCTAGCTGTACCGTAAGAGCATAGTCATGTGTCTGAATTTGTCAGAAAAAGGCTATCCATTCATCATTAATGCAAAAACTATGAAGATAAACTATAGAGACAAAGATTAGCTGGTACTACACTGAGCAAACCTAGTGCTCAGTGTAGCATATGTGGTTTGGTTTAGTTTTGCTGCTCTCAACTGTTCAGGGTCAAAGAAATTTGCTTATTTTTCTGAAAACTGTTTATAGATTAGAGTTTAATCATAGTATGAATAATGTCTGTCTGTGCTGTCTTTTATAATATTCTGTCAAAGTTTTCACCCACAGCTGCTGACCTGCAGAGATTAGTCCTAGTGCTGACAAATCAACTCCGAATAGTATTCACTGTTTATAGATTTAATAAATTCAAGACAAATTCAAATGCAGTATTTTCTTACGATTTGCTTCAGTAATTCCTGCAAATTCCTCAATTTTTCACGCTGTCACTGATCTTCACTGACAAGCAATAGAGCTCGTGGCTTTTTCCAGTCCTCCCACTCCCTTCTTTCACCAGCAGTGACTGTAATGTATCCACCAACCTTTGATGGATTCTGTATTTAACATGTGGATGCACTGATGCCAGAAAGTACAGGGTGGGCTGAATCATAGGCAGTGAAACCAGACTGTCATCCAAATTCTGTTTATAGCAGATCAGGGAACCATTGCTGACTATTTTATTTTGGGGATACTTTCTACTTTACTCCACTACCGCTCAGAGGATATTTTATTTATTTGACAGCTGTCTCATTACTTTACAGATTAAGATTTTATATTTAGTATGATATAGTAAATTACATGTATGTAAGTGTTGTTTTAGATTCAATTATGAATTTCTGACATTATTTTATCAGTTTTAAAAATGGAATGATATTAGAGTGTTTTCTAAACCTCTGGAGGAGCTTGTAATCATACAACTGATCTGAAAGTATAACAATTCTTAAAACCTGAGACATAGTTCTTTCCCCGGCCAGCAACAATACGACATATTGCTGTAGTTTAAGATTATGCAGCACGTTGTGGACGTGAGCCATTATTTGCAAAAACAAAGTTTCATTTGTTGTCGAACTATAGAATGAAGAGAGATTAATATGTAATAATTATATTCATCCCCAGAAAATCTACTGTTGTGCTGACTTCTTTCTGTTAACAATAATAAATAAATAAAAACGGTTTGTTGAAATGTTATTTATTGTGATCTTTTCCTCCTGCTTGTTCTCCTTTCTTTGAAATACAACAGCTAAGGTAGATCTCTAAGTTTTTATTTTTACAAGCCATGCTATGAAGCAGGTGCTAATCCAGGCTCTTGTCATCTCCTGCCTGGACTACTGCAACTCACTACTTGCCGGAGCCCCGGCATCGGCCATCAGACCTCTGGAGCTTGTCCAGAAAGCTGCAGCTTGTCTGGTGTTCAATCGCCCCAAGTTCTCCCACACAACTTCCCTTCTCCGTTCTCTACACTGGATACCTGTAAGAGCTCGCATCCAGTTTAAGACTCTGGTGCTAGCCTACAGGGGAGTGAAAGGAACAGCTCCTTCCTATCTCCAGGCCATGGTCAAGCCCTACACCCCCGCCCGACCACTTCGTTCTGCTGCCTCGGGGCGATTGGTTGCCCCGTCGCTCAGAGGTCCCTGTGGCCGATCGACCCAGTCACGGCTTTTTTTCTGTCCTGGCCCCACAGTGGTGGAATGAACTCCCCACTGACGTCAGGACAGCAGAGTCACTGCCCATCTTTCGGCGTAGGCTGAAAACTCACCTCTTCAAGAAGTACTACCCTGAGCCTTCCACTTAGCACGTATTGTATTCGTATTAGTTTGTTGCACTTATTGTATTTGTATTAGTTTGTTGCACTTATTGTATTCAGTTGTTTCTGCAGTGTAATTTTGCTCTGGTTTATGCTCTTAGATGCTTGTTTAAAAAAGGAGATACACATGACTTCTGGTGATCTTTCATTTATAAGAGACTTTTCCTGACCCTAACCATAACCACTACAAGCTTACTCCTAACCCTTAGCCTAAACCTATGATAAACTTAAACCAAGTCTTCACCCTAAAATGTAATTATTTACGTTATGGGGACAGCATTTGTCCCCAAAAAAGGCGAGTCCCCAGAATGGGACGGTATATTCAGATTTATGTCCCCACAAGACAGATAAAACACACACACACGCATGTGCAAAACGATGTCTTTATTGTTTACGGGATATTTTTTGTTGATTCTTATATTTTGTTATAATATTTAACTTTGATATATTTTGTCTTTTTATATTTTTATAACCTTATTACTTACTACTGCACCTACCCTTTCCAGCCCCGCAGATGCTTTCAAATTCCTGTACATCTCTGTACTACTGACAATACTTTTCTGAACTACATTACAATGTATTCATATCATAGTTCCAGCTGTTTAGTGTATATAGCTGCAGTCTATTTTCACTACTGCAACTCCTACTGCATGTGTTTTACTGCTAATACAAATACCCCTTACTGTGTGTCCTATATTGTAGGCTAACCACTGTACATATTCACATTACTCTACACTTGGATATTAATCTACATTTCATTGTCTCAGTATTTATACTTAATTTGAATTTAATCAAATCTAACCTTGTTACAAGTGGTTGTGACCCTCAAACAAAAACTGTATGGTATATATATAGTTCGTCACTTGCATATGTGACGGCCCCTGTCTAACCACTGTAAAGTTTGTCCCTGAACAGGGCAGATTACCTGATGCAGAGCACCTGGTCCTGGAGCTGCTAGGGCATAAAATCCCTGCTCCAGCGTTCCCCAGGAGCGGCATTTCTTTTGTGTACATGGAGTGATCTCTGCCAGCGGCTGCTCGATTATACTTTGGTTTTGATCTTCTTGTATTTCCTTTGTTTAGTTTAGCTGTAAATTCTCAAACCCCCTGAACTATCCCCAGGCCCTGAGTATTTGCTGGGAATTTTCTGCATGCAAGATTCTCTGAACTTCCTCGGTGTGGTTCTGTTCATTTGCTGGACTTGCTCTCCATCTCATGTCCCAAGAGTACTCAGTGTGCTCCTCACTCAGTCAAATAAACAATATTTTTGGTGGACAGGCAACACATAATTTGCACGCAGACACATTTTTTGTATTTTCCTGCCACTGCCACCAGGTGTTACTAAAGAGTGTCAGAGAGTTAACCTTCCTGTTCCCCATCAGCTGTTTCCGGGCAAATGAACTATCCTGTTCCTCCATTGTTCTCCAGACAGCCAGCCTTCTTGTTTCCCAGCCAGCTGGTCGTCCTGTCATACAGCTTTCCTGTTCCTCAGTCAGTCAGCTAACCCCTTCTCTCCAAGTTCACCATTAAGCCTCTATTACTCCTTCCACTGGCTCAATTCCATACTCAGCTCTTATATAATATTTACAGAAGATAGTTTGGATGCTTCAAGAAAATCTTGCTTTTCTCTCTCGCTCACTTAACATTTATTTATTTATTTTTCAGGGACAATGCACACTAATCAACAGTTGCACTGTAAGTGAGCCAGAGTTAGCCAGAGAGGCTAATTTCCATCTGCTGTCCCTGGCCAGATGTTTCAAGGCAGCCTAAAATAACAAAATCTCAAATTGAAACGGAATTAAAATTCATAGAGAAACGGACAGCAACGTATAGACAAAACCAATACACAGCAAAAGAAAAGTGTACGACATTAAAGCAGAGCAGACATAACAGGTTTCAGCATGCGTCACGCAGAACAGACCCACCTAGGACAAGCACATTACAGTATAACACTGAAGCACAGAACATACACATAACAAAAATGGAAAATAGCAACACTGAACAAGACAAATGCACATATAGGTGAAACAAGCAGGCAGGACAGACAGCACATCAATGCTTGCACACCTGATTGGCAACATGCTATTTCTTGAAGTTATGCTTGAATGTTTTGTACGTGTTTTGTGTGCGTATGTGTGGAATGACACAATCACCTCTTGAAGCAGACCTAGTGAGTCTGCTGCTTTGAGTGCTTTGTTTAATAAAATCACTAAGTGGAGTCGGAGCCATACCATGTAAAATTTTAAAAACCAGACACACATCAGTGAATTTAATGATGTTCTTCCAACTCAGAATATGGTGTTTGGTGAGAATATTGCAGTGATGGTGACTTTTGGGTTTTTTATCGTGTTTTTAGGGCTTATTTATGGAGAATATGAATGGATTTTAATGTTGTGCTGCTGGCTTGTGCCCAGCTGGTTAAGCAGTAGGTCAGATGGGGGATAATCATTGCATTAAAATACAATTTTGCCGCTTGCATGGTTAGACAATGTCTTATATATCTAAAATTCATGAGATTAAATTTTAAGACATTTGTCACATGTTTTTGTTACAGGTACCAGGATTGGTACCAAATAGCCAGATAAATTTCTGTAAACAGGACACACAAATGACACCGGGCAATTTTACGTCTGTTCATCTCGCCTGCTCGTCAGAATGAGGAAACAGCATCGTGCCGTTGTAGTCTAACTCTACTGTCGTAACGCCTGCCCAAATCAAAGCAAAAAGCACCACCCTGCCCCCTGCTGGCCACAGGGTGGAATGCACACACCATACACAGTGAAAGCACGTCGGTCCTTTATAAAATGATTATATTTCTAGCATATACAATGCTCACTCTAAACCATATTGGCTTTACATAACCCAAAACACACCAATTCACATGTGAAAGCACATTGGTGGGTGTCACACACTCCCCGACAAAGTAAAAAAATTGCTCCTGACATTTCCAAAAATTCAAAAGTTCCAAACTAACATCAAAATACATATAACTCACAATTTCTCTCCACATCAGAAACTCCCTTTAAAATCAGTAAACAGGTGTAATGTATGGCATGTATATGTTGGTGTCATGTACGCTGCAGGTTGGTATGTCAGTGGGAAATGGTAAGGTGTACCCCATAATGGTAAGTAAGATGCACTGTATGCCCCGACTGTGTTAACTGTAGGGTTCGGTTGTAATGAAGGCTGGCCAAGTGTGTCATAGGTCAACATGTTCCTCGGCCTTCTTTCCCTAGCAGATCGCCTAATCTCTGTGTGTATGTTTGCTGGAAGTGGGGTCACTGGTCTCTCTTCGTGTCCATTTCCTGCTTCTGTTTGGACTGACCAAGGTAAGTGTGCATTTTCATGCGTTCTTTCTGTATGTCTTTCCTCGTCTCCTGCAGGTGCTGAAACTGGATCAGGTAAGTATTCATTCTCAGTGAGTTGTGTTTGTCTTTGCTCTTCCCTTGTAGGTACTGTAACTGGATCAAGCAAGTATTCATTCTCACCCCAGGTTTCATCTCTTACAGATCCTTGGGCTGATCCTCTCTGGCTTGAACCAGGTCTGTCAGGCACTTGGACTGAACCTCTCTGTGTTCTGCTCATTGGTATACGTAGCCAATAGCCTCCAGTGCTCTGTTCATCCGCTGAATCGTCTGAGTTGTCACTCTTATCTGTCTGTTCCTCCAAATCACTGACTCTTGCATGCATTTTCCTCTGTCGTGTCTCAGGTGCTGACTTCTCCTGACAAAGAGGAGTTTCAACAGGTAGGTCGCTCACAGGTAACAACAGGTTGCGATGTAGAGTTCTCCTTTTCAGCTTATCTCCAGCCTCTGGATAGACAACGTACACAGGATTTTCAGATACCTGTTCCTTGACTATGTATATGGCCTTCTCCCAGTAGGCTTAGCTTTCCGGGCCCTCCTCGCTCGTTGAGGTTCCTTACCAGCACTCTGTCTCCGGGCTGCAGGACTGCTCCTTTCATCTTGCTGTCGTAATAGGACTTGCCTCTAGCACTTGACTTCTTGCTGTTCTCATTTGCAATCTGATAAGCATCAGACATTCTCTTTTCCCACTTTTGTGCATATCCCTTGGGTGAGACTAAGTCTGTCTCCCCCATCCGGCCAAATAACAGATCGATTGGCAGGCGTGGATGATGGCCGTAAAGCAAATAGGGCGAGTAGCCAGTGGACTCGTGTCGGGTACAATTGTACGCATGTACAATTTGTGGGAGATGGTCCTTCCAACGCTCTTTCTCCTTGTCTGCCAGCGTTTGCAACATCTGCAGTAGGGTGCGGTTAAACCTCTCAGCTGGGTTGCCTTGTGGGTGGTATGGCGACGTTCTGGAATGACCAACCCCTGACAGCTTCTGAAGCGTCTGAAACAACTCGTTCTCAAACTCACGACCCTGATCGTGGTGCAGTTTCGATGGGTAACCAAACCTGGGTATGAAGTCATTATATATGCGCTCTGCCGCAGTCCGTCCGGATTTGTTCTTGGTGGCGTATGCTTGGGCAAATCGTGTGAAATGATCAACTACCACTAGAATGTATTGGTAGCCTCCTCTACTGGTCTCAAGATGTAAGTAGTCGACACATACAAGCTCTAGAGGGGAGCTAGTGGTTATACTACCCATGGGGGCACGCGTGTGGGTGACAGGTTTTTTTTGTTTTATACATGGCCACTTTCTTGTGACATAGTCCTCCATCTCTCTCTTCATGTAAGGCCAATAAAACCGTTCCCTAGCCAAGTGGATCACTCTCTCAGTTCCCACATGCCCCATCTCGTCGTGAAGATGTTTCAATGCCACATGCTTTTATTTTGCAGGCAGGACAAGCTGCTGTCTTTCATCAGTCCGTCTGTACAGGAGCCCATTTTCCAGGTGTAGTTTGTTCCACTCGTGTAAGAGTTTTCTGGTGAGTAGATTTGTTGCTCTCCGTGTCTCATCAGTAGGGACTGCGCTTGTCTCTTTGAGCCTCACGTCCTCTCCGATGGTGGGGTCTTCTCCCTGAGCTCAAACAAGCTCATCGTGACTTATTGTTGGCAGGAGTGTCCGCGGCTCTTGGCTTGTGTTAAGAGAAGCGATATGCAAGGCAGCGATCCAGGCAACATCCTTTCTCTGAGCCGCTTTGTTTCCCTCCCAGGTCGTACACACAACATCTTGGGATAGCTCCTCAGTGCAGGTTGTGATGTATTTCTCCATATCCAGCGGGATGCGAGACAATGTATCTGCATCAATGTTTATCTTCCCAGGCCGGTACTTCACATCAAATCAGAAATCACCGAGTTCTCCTACCCAACGATGTCCAACAGCATTTAGCTTTGCTGTGCTCATGATGTAGGTGAGGGGGTTGTTGTCTGTATAGATCGTGAAATGCGGGGCATAGTACAGGTAATCCCTGAACTTCTCGCACACTGCCCATTTCAAGGCAAGAAATTCCAGCTTCCCACTGTGTAGATTGTAATTTTTCTCAGCAGGTGTCAAAGTTCTCGATCCATAACCAATGGCCCTCAACTTCCCATCTTGCTGCTGGTAAAGGATAGCCCCGAGGCCCTGCTCTGATGCTTCAGTATGCAGTACGAACGGTAAGTTGAAGTATGCCAACACAGGTGGGCTTGTGAGCATGTCCACGAGTCGCTCTAGTGTTGCTTGATGTTCTTTCGACCATTCCACAGGGGCCCTAAAGGACAGTTGGGGTCCCTTGGATTTCCCTCTGTGTTTTGGAGTCCCTGACATTCCATGTTTCACCTGCAGCAACTCGTAAAGAGGCTTTGCAATCCGTGAGAAATCCTGAATGTAGGATCGGTAGTAGCTTAGGAAACCAAGGACCCTTCTGATATCACCCACTGTCTGTGGTGTCTTGGTTTTGAGCAACAGCACCGCTTCCAGGTCTTTTGGGTCAATTTTCACTCCTTCCGCAGATACCAGTCGTCCCACGTAACGGACCTCACGCTGGAAGAGTTCACATTTCTCGGGCCTTTTACTCCATGACGCTGAAGGGCCTGTAGGACCTTGCGGACTCCCTCAACATGCTCTTCAAAAGACCTTGCATAACAGAGGACGTCATCGAGATATGGAATGCAGTACTCGTCCCTAAGGGAGCCAAGCATCTCCTCCATACTCCTCTGAAAGGCTGCAGGCGCATTAGAAAGGCCAAAGGGAATACGCACTCACTCGTAGAGGCCCCAGGGCGTGATAAAAGCCGTGAGATGTCTGGATTTCTGGTCGACAAAACCCTGATGGTAGGCTTTTCCCTGGTCCAAGATGCTGAACCAGGAATAACCACCAAGGGTGTCAGTCAAGTCTAGGATCCTGGGTAGCGGATGTCGATCAGCAACAGTCTTTTGGTTTAACAGACGATAGTCTATGCAGAGGCGTAACGTTCCGTCTTTTTTTCAAACGCACACCATGGGGGCAGAGTAAGGAGACTTGGATTTCACTATCCATCCCTTTGCCAGAAGGTCCTGGACGCACTCCTTGACTTCCCTGAGTAGTGGCTTTGGCACAGAGGAGTATGCTCTCGGAACAGGAATATGATCTTTGAGATTGAGCGACATTTGCAGACTCGGAATACAGCCTGTATCGTCACCATCTTGTGCGAAAGCTGCTGACTCCTCATATAACATTTTCTTTACTGCCTCTCGCTGTTCTTCTTCCAGGTGGTTGGTATCAACTGGTGGGTGCCACAATGATGGGCTTTCACCAGTAGATGGAGCAGTGGCACTGTTGATTGTCACGTTCTGTTTCGAGCGGTCTTTTGAGTCCTGGTCAGGTGAGTAAGTTTCAACTACTTTAGCGATTGGTTGAATATTACCCAGAGCTGTCTTTCGTGGCAGGGTGATGTCATGTTTTGTATTGTTCCCTACTGGCACAGCTAAATATGGTCGCTTCTGGTTTTGGACATCAAGCAAGCCTTCACCCACATCTAGCTGTTCTAATGATACGTTGTCTTCATCTAGTTCAAACAAGACAAGGCGGTCAGATGGATCCATGTTGGATGGAACTCTGCACTTTATCCAGGCAACCTGGCCAGCGGGAATGACAATGTCATGTTGGCCTACTCTCAGGCGTCCATTCACTGCATACACTTCCAGTTCATCATCATCTTTCATCAGTTCAGCAATTGGCCGGGTCTCAAAATGAGGTAGGTGTTTGCTTTTCCAGGACCGGTCGATCATACTGACTTGAGCCCCTGTATCCAGCAAAGCATGCACCGCTAGCCCATCCAGGTAACATTGGATTATGGCTTTTCTGCCAATTAATCTCGCGACTTGTTCATTTCTGGTGTTCAATGGTTCCTGTGGTAACTCGGTGGAGATCCCCCTCTGTCCATTTCTCCCTTTTGCACAAGCTACCACTGGAGAAGTAGATGGTGAGTTGTTAGTCTTAGTGATGCTTCTTGTGTGAGTCTGGTTTCCACTGACACCATTTGGCTGGAACGTTTGAGACCCGATCACTGGGCGCCCCCTGCAGCGACCGGCTCCAGTTTCCCTGGTGCTTGGGCTTTTTGAGACAACCTACGGCCCTGTGACCTTCTTCACCACAGTAGAAGCAATGGTTACAATTAGACAGGCCCTGCTCCACACATCTAGGACAGCCATTAGTTCTCTCCCTTCTTGGGTTAGTCATGTTCCTCGTCGAGAACTGGCACGTCTGCTCTGTTTTCAGTGGCTGTATGGGTTGTTTCATTGAGTCTACTACTCTGGTGAGTGCCTCAATTTTGGCTGAGAGTTGTTGTATTATGTCCATTCCAGCTGCATGTTCGGTGATCTGTTGCTTAGCACCCTGTTCTTGTGTTGTACTGGCGCCAAACTGTGCACTGCGAACATTAGTTTGGGTTTGGTGGGGTGTTGGGCCTAACCTCTGCTGCCTCTCACTTTCCTCAGTAGTTATTTTCATCACGTGTCTGAGAATTGTCTTATCTTTCACCTCAGCATCTGAGAGAAGAGGTTTTAGTTCCCTGCGGATATCATTGTGTCTGTGTTCCAGTCCCTGATACACTGTGTGTAAGAAGACATCTTGGACTGTAGCTCTGCTGTATTTTATGCTTGCATCAGGAAGGTTAGATGTAAACACTATTCTCTGTCCAATTGCTCTGTAGAGGAATTGTTGTGGAGTCTCATTATTGTTCTGTTTAGTGCACATCAACTCCTGAAATAGTTCAGTGCTATTCTTTTCCCTTAAATGGGACTGTAAGAATCCTTTAAGTTCTGCCACAGTCACATCATCTTTATTCATCAACATGTCTTTAAAGTTGCCTGGTTTGATTATCCTTAGCACAGCCCTTACTATTTCTGAGTCACTGAAGTCCTCTTGAATTCCTTCATCGATCTGTTTGCACACATTACTGTAGGTGATGTCTGAGTTGTGATCACCGATTTGACCTCCCTGAATTTTGAATTCTCTACGTTGGAGGTATGAGAGTTCTCTGATGGAAATCACCTTCTCACGTGGTTGGAGAGTACTGGGTTTGTACTGGTCACTACTGTATAATGTCTCTCTGTTCTGTGCAGCTGATTGTGTTACTGAGGGCTGTGAAGAAACTGACTGTGTAGTAGGTGTGGTAATACACTGCATAAGTTTCTTACTAAGCTCCTCATTGCTTTGCAGCATTTTCTGTAGTTCACTATTTGGTGTGGGCCCCACTGAACTAGCCATAGCGCCACTGGTGTTTTCAACTACTGGAACAGTTTGGTTTGTATTTACTGCAGTTGTGTTGTCTGTGTCACTAAAGTGAGTTGACCTAGCTGAATTAGTTGGAGCATGAGTAGTGTCAGTGGGTTGGTCATTAGTGACTGTGTCATGAACATTGGCATCATCATTAACAGTTATATCAAATACTACCCCGTCCTGACACTTAACAACATTATCAACAGTGTCCTTCAACATCAACAAATCCACCATACCGTTGTCCTCTAACTCAAGAAGACGCTGACTGTTCATGAAAGAGCTGATGTGTTCGAAGCAACCCTCGAGATCTCCCTCTTCTGGCAGACTGGTCCTTGTCTGGCTCTGGACCCACCATTTTGGCAATTTGAAAGAGTTCATCCGCTGACAAAGTGAGTAGGCTCTTCCTAATGTCCCACACTAGGCTCTTCCTCTCACTGTCCAACATCGTAGCTCTTTTCTTTACCCTCACGTGCGGTTCCACAGTCCAACAACTTTGTCTCTGCTTCAGTTCACCAGTCTACGCCCACATCCGTCTCTTTGCTCCCACAGCTTTTCATGGATTGCAGCATCAGCTCAGCTCTGGTCCCAAATTTCATCTATCACTGGATCAGCTGCCAGCTTTCCGGTGGTGCCGATCCCGGACGAGCCCCCAAAAATCTGTTACAGGTACCAGGATTGGTACCAAATAGCCAGATGATAAGTTTCTGTAAACAGGACACACAAATGACACAGGGCAATTTCACGTCTGTTCATCTCGCCTGCTCGTCAGAATGAGGAAACAGCATCGCGCCGTTGTAGTCTAACTCTACTGTCGTAACGCCTGCCCAAATCAAAGCAAAAGCACCCTGCTGGCCACAGGGTGGAATGCACACTCCATACACAGTGAAAGCACGTCGGTCCTTTATAAAATGATTATATTTCTAGCATATACAATGCTCACTCTAAACCATATTGGCTTTACATAACCCAAAACACACCAATTCACATGTGAAAGCACATTGGTGGGTGTCACATTTTACCTGTTTTTTAAAAGAGAGATTAGAATCAATAAAAATTCCTAAATATTTAAAATCTGACACTACCTGTAGCCTCTCACTAGCAACATAAACATCTTACTCCAGTGACACTTTGCAAGCCCTCTTTGTGAAGAACATACAAACAGTCTTTTTAACATTCAGGTGAAGGCAGGAATCTGCAAGCCATTTAGTTACATTTGTCATTGTGGACGTGAGTTTAACTGCAGCTTGTTCTTTGTTCTTTGCGTGCACATAAATCACTGTATCGTCAGCGTACATTTGAATATCACACCCATCACAGACACCCGGCAAATCATTAATGTATAAACTGAATAGGAAAGGTTCCAAAATAGAACCCTGGGGTACTCCCACGTTAGATCTTAGAGTAGATGATGAAACATCACCCGCTCTGACACACTGGGTTCTTCCTTCAAGGTAGGATTTCAGCAAGGCAAGAGACTCTTTGGAAAAGTTAAAATTTGACAGTTTGTTAATCAGGACATTGTGATTAACCGTATCAAAAGCCTTCTTCAGGTCAAGAAAAAACGCTGCTACTACACCCCCTTTATCCATTTTAAGCTTCACATTCTCTAAGAGGAAGCAGTTGGCTGTTTCAGTCGAATGATTAGCCCTGTAACCAAACTGCATAGGATGCAGCTGATATGGAGAGCTGTTGAGATGTTTAATAAGTTGCTCTGCAACACATTTCTCAGCAATTTTGGAAACAGCAGGGAGGATACTGATTGGCCGATAATTGGAGACATCGGTTGAATCTCCTGACTTAAAAATGGGTGTTACTATGGCTGATTTCCATCCTTTTGGAAACACACAGTGCCTGAGAGATTTGTTGACAATGCTTGTGATCGGATGAGCGAGTGTGCCTTTATGTTTCTTTGGAAAAATATTGTCAATTCCATAAACATCTTTGGCCCTAGAGTTCTTGAGTGAGCCTAGAACTCTGGTGACAGTAGATTCAGAGACTTCTTGAGTAGCGAAGCATGGTTGACCTTCATTTACTGGTATAGGATCAAATTGACCAGTACTGGAGCTTCGAGTTAAAGCTTCCACTGAGTTGATAAAGTATGAATTGAAAGCTGTACAAATTACAACTTCATCTTGTGTAAGGCACCCGTTCACATTCATTTTAAGTTGCTTCTTTGAATTGCTGTTCTGTTTGTCTGTCAACTTCTTTAGATTATCCCATATTATTTTAGAATTACCTCCTGCTTCATCAATGATCTTAATAAAAAAATTAGCTTTTGCTTTTCTAAGTTCTTTCGTTACCTGATTCCTCAGCATTACGAATTTCTGCCTATCATTTCCTAATTTAGACTTGAGTCCCAATTTTAACGCATAGTCCCGTTTTTTCATTAAATTCCAGATGTCACTAATTAGCCATGGAAGTGTGTTCTTTTGATTGTGTTTAATTTTGGCTTTTTTAAGGAAACTGTTAATTGTGGTCTGTATTGTGGATAAGAAGATGTTGCTATCTTCCTCCACACTTGCACCCGTTAAACAGTTGCTCCAATCAATTCCTTGTATAGCATCCTCAAATGAATTTTGGTCACCTTTCGGTATTCTTAATTGATAAGCCTTTCTGGTAGAAGACATATTAAAACGTTTCTTTGTAAGTTTTCTTGTTAAAAGTTTCAAATTATGGTCAGACATACCAGTTACCATATTGTGTGTTTTGATCATTCTTTCTGATTTATTCTTAAAAATCAAATCAATCTGGGACTGAGAAGAGTGGGTTATCCTTGTGGGTTTGTTCACTAACTGGGTCATATTAAAGCAATCAATTGTACGTTTTAGGGATTTTCTTACAGACTTATCCTCCCAATTTACATTAAAATCACCCACTAATATAACCTCTTTGTCAAAGTCACATTCCTTTAACATGGAATTAAGCTGATCATAAAATTCACATTTGGACGATGGTGGTCTGTAGAGACAGATAAGAGTAAGAGACATTTGAGATGATAGTGACACTTTCAGACCAATACATTCCAATTTGACATCACTTGACCACTCAATCTGGCTGCAGTTAAGGTGTTCTTTAATGTAAAACATTACTCCTCCTCCTTTACCACTAGATCTATCTCTTCTAAATATATTGTATCCACGTACATTCAGAGCAACAGAGGGCGAGTTTATATGTAGCCACGTTTCTGAGAGACATAGAAAGTCTAGGTTTGAACAGTGGTGGGCCGTCAGGGCCTGCAAGGCCTTCTCTGCTGGCCGAAACAGAATCACAAAGTTATAGCTATTTTATAATTTAATAATTTTTCTTAAATACACTACATGTATTATAAGTTAAAAAAATATTTTTCCCATTATCTTATTTTCTCATTGCACACCTACTGTCTTCCTCAGTTGCTCTGCTTCCAGTGCAGCTTGTTTTAAGTAGAGCTTTTATCCAATCAAATTTCACCCCTGTGTCTCTAGGTAAGAACAGAGGCCTGAGGCCTGCAGACTCACAAGTGCATCCCTTTGCAGTTTAAGTTAATGGGGACGATATTGTTGATTGTCATTGTGTTCAACCAATCAGATCTTTAGTTTGACATGTTGGGCGTATTCTTTGACGTGCCAGAGCCTGCTAGCTGGCCTACAAGTACGTGATTGGTCAGTGGGCTGTCAGTGACAATCCCAATATCTGCTGCCTCTGTCGAGCGGACATTTTCAGCCTCAAACGCATTAAAACGTATTCAAGAAATACAACTGGGGAGGCTCGACTGTCTTCACTTGATCGAGAAGGACTTCTTACTGGAACTAAAACGCATGGATGTACTGAACAACCGTGGGATTAAACTCTTTATTAACAAAGAAAGGAGGATGCACTTTGTCTTTTAAATAGTGAACAGCAGCTCTGGTAAGTTAAATGCGTTTGTTTTTACATCTGCAGTAGCTTTAATATGCTTGTTTATATATTATTATTTGTGCAACTTGTTTTTATGAAGATTTTTGTTTGGTTTTATATGTGAAAGGAACCATTGTTACGTCCAATGTTGCTCTGGGGACATATTTAGCAGGTGCCAGTGTTGGCAACTTGGCGACTTTCTCGCTAAATCTGGCGACTTTCCAAACCCTCATGGCGACTTTTTTTGTCAAAAGCTACTAGTGACAAATCTAGCGACTTGTTCTGGTGTTATTGGAGAATTTTCTGGTGTTTTGACGTTAAAGCACGTACGTTCTGCACTGTCGTGAACGAGCAGCGGGTGCTGCCATGAGCACCTCCGCCGCCGCCCACAGAAGCCACGCTCAGCAGTCCCAGCTGCAGTCAGAGCAGAGAGGAGACGCACTCTATCTACAGGTGTTGAGCTTCATTTTTACACGAAAGAAAAAATAACCGTAACTGTGTTTCAGCTGCAGGACAGCAGTGAAGGCCCAGGTATAAAATGCACGGCCCGCCACTGGGTTTGAACATGATCCAGATAAAAATAATTGTTTAATCTTTTCATACATTTGAACACTCAGAGGCTGCCTAAATTATGGCTTTTAAAACAGATTTTGGCAGTTGATTGACTAAAGAAATTATACAACTATCACTTGGGAGATTTCTTCAAACCAAAGTAAATACCACAAATAAACGTACCACTTGCTCAGTCACTCTGTCTGTTAGGAGCAAGCGTTGTTTAAATTATAGATGAACGCATTTATATAAGAACATCCATCTTGGAGTTCCTATCAGACCCCAGATCAGGCCTTGTTTGAAAGGAAGGAAACATGGATGCTCCTTTGTTTGGAAAACACATGTGAGGGTCTTGGCCAGCCATGAGACCAGAGTCAGATTCCAACACGAGACACCGACGCAAAATTACCAGATTAAAGTAAAGTGAATTTTTACAGAAGAGGATAGAAGTTTACGATTCTCATTGTGTCAAGCAAATACAACTTTTGCTGTATTCTCCAGTTATTGTGTAAAGTGTTTAAAGGTGTTAAGCAGACCCATTTCCAAAATGCAATTTTGCTTTTGTTCTGTGTTGGGTGATGTTTCTATTAAAGAGCATACGATTAAAGAGAGGCAGAGTGGTTGAAAGCTACTGCCTGCCTTTCCAGCTTGTCCTTATTAGAGCAGTAACACAGCTGTCAGCACAAGTTGTGGCTAGCCTACGCATCCAAACATATAGCAAGCACACACTGCCGTCTCTTTTTGCCAGTCACCTTGGTGACGGGGCTGACTAAGGAACTAAAATAAAGTACACTCGGTACACTCTGCTGGATTCAGATTGTACTGTGTCTTCACTAATGTGTGTGATTTCAAAGTGCTTCTTTTTCTCCAAGTTGGCCTTCCTGCCACAGCAAGCTGACATTTTCCACCACTGAAAACTGACCTTTTGAAAATGCTCTTTGGAATGGTGGCAAAAAGTATAAAAAGAGCCTTATGAAATCCCTGATGTATGGCTGTCAGTCTTCACAGATATGGTTAGGAATACAGTATATTAAACAGAAACATTCTACCTCCTAAACATATGTCAGTGACTGTGTGCTTCAGAGCCAAAGTCCCACCACACATCTGGGTTAGCCTTTGTTCCATTATATGTAGCTTTCTCACAGAGCAGTTCTTTTGTCAGTCTTCCTGAAACAATTAATGTTTCCGTGGGATTTCTATCCATATTCTGGACTAAATGGGTATCTACAGCAGTTCTGGATATAGAAATGTCAACTCCTGGTCAGAATGACATGTTGGGGGACTGAAATGATGGGGTATTCTAATTCACTGAAGGGAGATGAATAAATTGGTCAGAAAAAAAAGTGTTGGCTTCAAAACTCTTGTTTCGTGAAGGTCAATGCACACACGACACAATGGGTGCCAGAAGGCAAAAGCTCTGTTCACTTAAAGTTCAACTGTTGATTGGTGTGCATTGCCCCTGAAAATAAATAAAATAAACTTAGGTCCAACAGAGGCAGTTCTGAAATGTGGCTCTCAAGGTCCAAATACCAAAAGAGTTTCACAGATACGACATATCGCAAAAACTCGGTCTGCAGAGCCCTCCTTTCTCAAGTTTCAAAACTGTCTAGAAGCGCTTGGTTTTATACTCCCAGATGGCTACCGACAGCCCGTTGCCAGACAGATCTCTGCATGTTGCTACTACATCAGAAGCTTTCTGTGACATTCAGTAGTAGTGCATGAAATATTCACAAATAAGTAGACATGGAAGAGTTAGACAGGTTTTATGGCACTGTTCGCCACTTTAATGAATGAATGCAATTAAATATCAATTCAATGCAAAAATGATAAAGAACTAGAAATTGTTCTGTGAGAATGTACAAGTTTGGAATTAACAAACCTCCCACAAACCACCCCCAGTGTTTATGGTCCAATTTTCACTTTCCTTCCTGCCTGTTCACAGACGCACACACACTGCGAGCGAGCCAAGTTGGTTGAGTACACTTGGCTGTCTTTTATGGTTTGTATCATAAACCCCACACTGGGTCAGGCTTCGGTAGGTTGGCGTTTCTGCAAACTGTTTATGGTTGTCAGCAATGGACCGATGGGAGGTGTAGGCCAGTTTATAGTAAATATCAAAGGCTTCAATAAAGATCAAGGCACAAGCCTAAAGCTCTCAAACAAAGTTGTTTACTGCTTAAAAAAGGGGTCTTCTACTGGCAAAACAAATAATTAAAACATAACCCAAACTGTAAAAGAAGTTGTACTTTGAAAATGAACATAGTTATGCTTTACACTTTAAATGAATAAGCAGGATCTTGTCTGAGGCCATGTCCACATTACTCCGTTTTTGTTTGGAAACGCATATGTTTTGCTACGTTTACACTGACCGTCCACACTACACCAGCGTTTTACAGCACCGTAAACGGAGGAGTTTGAAAACGCTCCCGAGGTCGGAGGAGTTTGAAACTCCGGGGTTGCGTTTTGTGTGGACGGCCGAAAGCGGATACATTCAGAAACGATGACGCCCACACCCGCGTACGCTACTTGATTGGTTCTTAGCAGTCATGACATATCCTTCCCTGATTCGTCACATGCCTATCACGTGACCCTTACCCGGAAGCTCACAAACAACAACATTGATTACCGATCGACTACCAGGTTAATTTAACATGGACAACTGATTGCAGGCGTTGCTGACCTTGTTGTATTTACCAGCAGCTGTTGTTCAGTTAAAGTCTGCATTTCTGTGGAGGAAGCAGCTGTTATTGGAGCGATTAGCGAGCGGCGTGACCAGCAGCGTTATCAGCCCTACGGAGCGGCCGTCTGAAGCCACGGTTGGCAGTAAATGCTATCCAGTAGGACAGATGGCTAAGCCACCAGCAGAGCTACGTGTGAGAACAGACAACAACGAGAAAACGAGTGAGACGTGTGTTGACCACATTTATGGACCCATAATCTAGTAAACGTTTACGTGTAAGTGTTGATTTTAAAGTAAATTTGATATGTGTGAGAGAGAGAGATAGAGAAAGACCCGCAGCGCTGTAACTAAGTCTGAAAAATAAAACTTCTAAAACTTTGTCTGTTTGAGTTTATAGAGGAATATTTTAGAGGAAGATCTTAAGTATCAAACACAACCTTTCATTATTAAAGACTACTATATTACTCTGTTGTATTTTTTTTAACTAAGCAACCAATCTACTTCCTGTTTACACCGTCATGCGCATGCCTAGTGTACGTTAATGGTCACGTGATATCCGTTTTCGAAGGTTGCCGTGTGGATGCAGATCAATTCGAAAAGGATGCTGAAACACCCGTGTGGACGGAGGTCGTTTCTATTTGAAAACTCCGTATCCAAATAGAAACGGAGTAGTGTGGATGTACTCTGAGAGCCTTGTTCCACACACAACAGGCAACGGAAAAGCCGGAATGTAAGCTTTGATGTCATTCCGTTCCTTCTTCCTCTGATTTTCTGAAGGGGGGTGGAGAGAGGGATCACTTCCTCTCTCCTCTGAACCCAGAAAGTCATTGTACACAGTGAAAACTGCCTTGTCTTTTAACTGCAAAAATGTCCAACTCCACCTAAAACAAAGATGTTGTCATTAAAATTAAAATGTCTGCACCACCAGAGACTATTTTGTTTTGGTACCACAACATAACCTGTAAATACCCACACTGCGGCATTATCAATCATTATTTTTCAAAATAATTATGACTAAACCCTAATATGTTGATGTAAAATTGTATAAAACAAAAAAAAGCTGCAAATCCTCACATTTGAAATGCTGCAACTAGAGAATATTTGTCAGTCTGCTTGATAAATTACTTATTTAAATTACTTAATTTACTGAGAATGAACTGCTTGTTTCAGCATTAACCCACATACTCCAACAAAATAAAAGGTTTGTAAAGAATGTGGAGCAATAGCCAACTTCACGTACTGGAATACCAGTCACAGGGGTGTCTCTCTCTTGTATAAGGCTGCACTGGTGGGCCCTTCAAACTGCAGTTTGATGGCCTGTTTCAGATTGAGTTTTGGGTCTGTGGTTGTCATACCGACCATAACATCCTCCGGCAAGGCACTACAAGGTGGGACTGGGCTAAAACTGTAGCAAGCAGGTGACAAAATGTTCTTCTGGGGTAGAGAATCCCAAGCCTCCCCTTGAAGTGGGCTTTGTAGTCTATATGGGTAGCCCAGAGGAGGACTTTCTCTGTTTTTAGCACCTACTGCAGGGCTATCTTGCCCTGGCATTATCCCAAGGGAAGCCATGACTGAGTTCCATTTGCCACCAGCATTAGTAGTCCTGTCTGCTTTAATTAAGTTTGAGTTTTGTTTGTTCATTTTGTCATGATATTCAAGTCCAGATGACAAGCCTTTCTGAGGCAGTGCGCAGTTGTGCACCATGGCAGCGACTGTGCAAACAGTGGTAGGAGGGCTGAATTTGGGATGACTCTGACTGCTTCCATGGAGGCTGCCCATGCCCGAGCTCCCTGGTGGGGGGAGGGTGGAGGGACGACTACGACTGCGGGGCAGTGAGTGCTGTTGGATTTGCTGAATAAAGCTGAGGCTGTCAGCTGGCACTGTCTGCACCGTAGCCAGCGAGTGGCAGGTAGATGAGGTTTGGGAGCTCTGCATGGAGTGGAATCGTTCGGCAGTGGAGCCGGGAGAAGATACTGAAGAGGAGGAGGCTGTCACTTCACATCCACTACTCTCGAAGATGCCTGAGCAGAGGATCTTGTTGGGTTTTGAAGGGGAGACATTGCTAGAGTTAGGCAACTGGCCTACGTATGGCTGGGCTCCGTAGCTCTCCAAGAGTCTGACAATGCTGGAGTGCCCGTGTTTCCCAGCCACTTTGACTGGACTACGGCCATATTTATCCATGTGATTGGGATTTGCACCTCTTTCCAGAAGCATTGCAACAATGTTTGCATGTCCCTCCTGGGCGGCAATGCTGAGAGCTGTTGCCCGCTGCTGACACGCAAGGTCTATAATGACACCACTGGTTTCAAGGAGACGATGTCCTACTTCAGCATGTCCTGTCCAAGCCACTGAATGGATTGGGGGTCTCCCCTCTGTGTCCTGCGCATTGGGGTTTGCCCCATGCTTTAGCAGTAGGTCTACAATCTTAATACACCCCTGCCAGGAAGCTACATGAAGTGCTGTACGGCCCTCAGAGTCTCGGGACTCCAGGGGCACCCCTCCTTTCTCTATGAGGAGATTAGCCTTTTCAAGGTATTCCTCCAACACCAGGAGGTAGAGCAGAGGCCTTCCCTCTGCATCCCGAACATCAGTATCAGCCCCTCGCCTCATAAGCAGCTCGGCAACCTCAAGATGGCCCTCCAGTAGGGCGGCACTCAAGGCAGAATGTCCATCGTACGCCCTGTAATCAATGGGAGAACGTCTGTCCAACAACAGCCTGACGGTGCTCCAGTGACCTTCCTGGGCAGCCAGTATAAGAGGGGTGCGTCCTTCAATGTCCATCTCTCCGACACGTGCCATGCTGCCTTGCTCCGTCAAAGCAGCGCACACACCTCGATGGCCTTCACAGGCAGCAGCATGTAATGGAGTCCAGCCAAGGTCGTCCTTGTGGTTCTCGTCCAGGCCTCGGTACAGCAGGGCGCGGACAACCTCAATACTGCCCCTCGCTGCTGCCAGGCAGAGTGCCGTTCTGCCTTCACAATCAATGGCGTCCACAGCTGCTCCCCAGAAAAGCAGCCGTGACACAGTCCTCATGTGGCCCATTGCTGCAGCTGCCAGCAGGGGAGTGACAGCCGCTGCTGCTGAGACATTGCCATTAGGGCCAGCAGTCTCATCTACATCAGCACCAGCTTCTAACAGAAGTTCAACTATGTCGTAATGGCCCTCGTAGGCTGCAAGAAGCAATGGTGTCATTCCATCATGGTCTCTGTGTCCTGCATCTGCTCCACGCTCCAGTAACAGACTTGCTACCTCACCATAACCTTTGACCCCAGCTGCTGTAGGAACACAGAGGGCAGAGACTGACAGAGCAGTGCGCCCATCTCCATCAGCTAAGTTAACTTCTGCTTTGTGGTCCAGCAATATCTCCACAGCTTCATGATGTCCCATATACGCAGCAGCGATAATCGGCGTGCGGCCCATGCTGTCAGCTTTGTCAACCTGTGCCCCATAGTCCAGCAGGGTCAGGACAATTTCCTCATGCCCCCCCCACGCAGCAGCTCTGAGAGCAGTACGGCCCTCAGCGTCACATCCATCCACATCTGCTCCTGCATCCAGCAGAAGCCGGACAGCCTTGCTGTGTCCTCCCCAAGCTGCAGAGCGCAGTGCTGTCCAGCCTTCGTTGTCGACATGCTCCATCATCCGCACAGCAGTTTCTGGCCCCTGGCTATTGGTCCAATCCAGGAGCACAGACAACACTTTGACATGCCCCTGCCTGGAAGCCAAAGTGAGTGGCGTTTGACCCTGTTGATCATTGACCAGTGGATCCAATCCACGAGCCAGGAGAAGTTTGGCTACATTTGCAGAACCCTCGTGGGCCGCACTGGCAAGCAAGATCTGTCCATCTGTAGAACCAGGCTGGTTTACAGAGACCCCACAGCCTAGAAGCTTCTTTACAGACACGTCCCTTTCAAAAGCCTGTTTTAAACTACTCCCCTCTTCACCTGTACAATGCACTCCAACACTTGGGTGGGAATCTGAAAGACAGGCTGCAGAGACGAGCCCACAACTCATTAACAGCTGAAGGGCTTCCTGACTGACTAAAACAGGAGGCTGGCTTATGGATGGGGTTAGTGCAATACTGCCACTTGTTGTAAGAGCAGGCACACCTGCCCACAGCATCCACAGTGCCAATAATGAGGGGTTATCTTTATGGTGACCTGATAAAACTAAATGTGTGGCTAGCTGGCAAGTGTCTGCAATGTCCAGGTGGGGTCCCTGCAAAGTCAGAGCCATGGCAAGCATACTGTGACCCTCTGTTCTGCTACACAGGTACTTCTGTGTGCAATACTTAACATCCGTCAGCCACTCAGCAAAGCTGGCATGAAAAAGTAGTTTGGTTCCCTCAGGGCCATCGATCAGGAGAGGTGTGAGGGTTCGGAGTTTGTTCTGGAAGTCCTGGTGGTTGAGCGAGGTGTCATGTGTCCATGTTGCCGTGAAAAGCTGCTGAGGCGTGAGGGGCCTTGCGGCAGCCAAGAGGACATTGAGGAGAGGCCTGACAAAGACAAAGAGCCCCCGGGGGAAAAGTTTCTGGCACAACCACAGGTAGAGGCCATTCAGAGTACCGGGAATGTCACGGATCTCCCTGAGACCCACCAGTGCACCTCCCACACCATCCAGCACGCGCTCGAGGAAGAGAAAGCAGCCGCCACTCTTAATGTGCAGCAGATTCAGCATGTCAGCCGTGTCAGGAGTGAGCTGACGGCGAAGTGTTGCGTCTTCATCCAGCCGACAAAGGATATACTGCTGCACGTCACGGACTGGCGGAGGTTTGCGCAGATCGTCTAGAGAGATCCTACGAAAACCTAAAACACAGAAAGAGCAGGTTTTTTAAACCCAATATAGTCTATACATATACTTGATACCAGTGATATGGTATTTTCTCTCTCTGCTTTTCTATTTTCGAAGTGAGTTTGAAGTGTCTAGGTAGAGAACACCTTAGTTAAAGAACATTTTGACCAGAGAAGAGGAGATATGTGTATACTGTTCAGCAGCTACGAAACAACACCTCACTTCATTTATAATATGTTTGTAAAATAAAGCTGGAGCTTATAACCGGAGGACTCAACCTAGTACCAGCTTTTAACAAGAGTTACAGTCAAAGGTCTCTTTAGCTATAGCTACACAAAAGGCCAATACTGTATAACTTTTGTATTTGTATTCATATATTCGATGCATGGTTAATGTGGATGTTAAAATCACAAGAAATAATAAGTAAAAAATATTTAGATTTTGATTTTCATCTCAAAAACTATTTGGCCATGGTAGTAATTCCGAAAATAATTGTTTGTTTACTGTATGTAATCAATTGTCATAAAAAAGCCCCGACATAATCAGTGTTGAGACAAATATATAACAGTCAGCGATTTCAATGTCCAATCATTGCTGCCCAATGTCCACCACACACATGCATGAGGTAGTCCATGTTTGTCAGGCCCCACATTATTATTATTATAATGATATAATTATCATTAACAACATAATATCTTAAAGTGCAAATCCCATTAAGATGAGTTACTCTCTCTTCATACCTGAGAACATCTTGCACACAACCTTGTTGTGGCGGCGGACGGAGCAGACCAGGAGCAGCCAGCCGGGCAGCAGGTGTTGATTGGCGGCCAGGAGCTGCGCAATGGACGTTCCACTCCCTTCGCCTGCCCCATACCCTACGTCGAGGGAGTCCACCAGCACCATCAGAGTCTGGGCAGGAGGAGGAAGGTCTAACAGGGGTCCCAACACTGCTCTAAGGACATATGAGAAAGAGCCAAGACACACAAGGGAAGAGATTAAATGTCTGCAGAGTAATTACAATCACAGACAAACACAGCAGGTTGATGTGTACTGTCAAGACGACATTTCCCTCAAACGACATCTCAGACCTTTAACATTGAAATACAGCTGTGACTAGGGAACTAGAATCGCAAATATATTATCTTCTACTGTGATTAAACTCTGGAATATGATGTAAAACATTTAAGAAATTCAGAACTTGGCAAAAAAACATAAATCCCAGCGCAACTGTCCTTTGAAGAGCACAGTTAGCACCCGCACCCTGCTGTGATCTGATGGTGACTCAGGTACATGGAACCTCTGAAATGTCCCGCTCCACCCTGGGCACGCTCTCACACTCACACTCACACACACACACACACACACACACACACACACGGGTTGATGTGTGTACACAGATTATAAATACACACACACACACACAATCCTACCATACTTCTCCTTTTGAAGTACTTCAACCGATTGTAATTTCCAGACACTTAAAACCCCTCAATGTAACATGTCTCAGCTTTGATTTAATTAATTTTTACGCACACTTCTGTAAAAACCGTAGTTTAGTCCTTGCTAGTTCAAACTAACGACTCATTTATGTGAGAATCAAATCCTGCAGTCATCAAGATTACTGTACAGAGCTGTTGGAGCATGAACACTACATAATGAAGTGCAAGTTGTATGAGGGAAGGGGGGACTCTTGAGAACGAAGTTGTTGCTTCCAGATGATTACTGTGGCTGCAGGAAAAACATGCCTGAGGCAAAGACAAACTACTGTTTTCTTACACCTATGATGATGCTCTGGTAACTGTATGGTAATACTAGCTATTATAGGAACCCATGTCCACCCCATCCAAACAAAGCCAAGCAGCACCAGACCTGTGTTTAAACTGGGACAGGGTACAGGGGGGGGGTTGTGACTACTTTTAGACCATACAACTTTGAATTTTAAATTGTTGCTTTAGAGTACTTTTTAGACAGACCAAAAAGAAAATAAGTTTGTAATTTTTTGTGTGTTTTATAACTTTATTGAAAATGTTTCATGAACTAAAAACTAATACATAACACTGTACTTACAGCAAAATACTGAATCTCCATTGTAAAAATGTCAGAAAACACATTGAATAATACATTTTTACCAGGTCTGGTTTTATTCAGTGTTCCGTTTAGCAGAAATCTGTACAGAGCTGCACATACAGTCCCCCTGTCTAAACTGTCCATAACCTGTCCTTTTAAAGGTGACAAACAGTGATTAACCTGTGACAGCAGTCTGGTGTGAATGGGTCACACAGGCTAAACCCAATAATCCTGCAGCAAACAGGGTTCACATTTGTGTGTGCTGTCATTATTGTTAATGTCTATATTTTAGGCCAGAAGGTCCAGTCATCTTTAGTCACCAAACAGGTTTTCTTTAAACCCCCAAATTTAAGGTAAAAAGAAACTTAGATTTTTTTAAGCATGAACAGGATCAACAGACGTTGGCAATTTTGTTTGTTTCTGGTGCCTAATAAAAGCAAATCCAGCAGTGTTTCCAATCTTGTAAAGATCATTCAAACGTTTCAGTGTACTCTGGTAAATCCAGAAAGCTTGGCGATTGAATCACACAGAAGCCTGTGAAGTTGAGTTACTTAAAGCAGGGTCATTCGCCAAACATGTTGAGGTCAACATCAAAGTATCAGTCTCGGGATGAACATATGCAAAGGAGTGGGGAGTGAAATTTCAACATCACAGAAATGAATCATCCGTAATGATAAGACTTTGGCAACAAATCGACCGTGTTTGAGCTACAGCCGTGAAATTGTGCATTACTACATGCACATTGTTGCATGTAAAAAGTAATATAAAAAGTAACTATTACCTCCTCTATTAAACTGTCCATAACCTGTCCTTACATAATGGACATTTTAACTAGCATCGCGTACTGGTGTCAACATGTACATTAGTTCAGGGTTTATTATTCAGCAGAGGTGGTAAGTCACCCACTTCCTGACACATCTCCCTTCATGATAAATAAGGTAGAAGAAAGTAGCCTAAACAGTAATGAGACTCAAATAATATGGTGTTTGCTGTGTGGAATAGGATTTCTAATTTTCTCCTGAAGGACAATGTTATATAAATTAATGAATAACATTTACATTGCGTGATGTTTGTTGAGTCAGTCTTTCAGACAAGGTGGCCCGCATCTACTATAAAAATGCGAGACTACACCACCAATTGCTTTTTTTTTTTTAAACTAACTAAAAATGCTTACAAATAGCTAAAAAAAATGCCCATCACAAGTTCCCAGTTCCCAAGGTGACATCATCAAATTGCATATTTTGTGCAACCAACAGTTTTAAGACCCAGTCATATAAAAAATTCTGCAAATTTGAGAAGCTTGTAGAACTTTCTGCTTGATTTGGCTTTATATGATGAATTTTAATTATTTTTTTTCAAATTCTTTTTGAGAAGTACAAAAATCTAGGTGAATAGTAATCACACAAAGAGAATGTCTTTAGTCAGAGAGGTTCAATCGTGATATAATGTGATATAGTTGTAGAATACACCTTCTGTTGGTCCAGAATGTTCCAGCTCATCTACACTGCAGTCCTTTTTACTCCAAGTAAAGTCTGAGGATTTGTTGTAGCGAATGGCCACTGAGTCATCTCATTACCTTAACACCTCATTGCCTTCCACGGTAGCCTTGACTTTTATCATGGGGCATATGTTGCAATTAAAAGCGGATTTAAGCCCTGCCCTTGGGTGACGGCTACATCTGGGTTACAACAAGCTTATCATACCTCTGTTTGCATTAGTCATCCGATTACAGCGACACTCCCTCACCGGGCGCACGTTCAGGTCTGCGGAGGAGGAAACGTTAATGATCCTTTATTGCTGGTTGAAGCTTTCTGCTCCATTCTGCCCACATAGTCCTGGACACAGGATGGTGGGTGACCTTTGACCCTGAGCTTTAATTCAGCTTGTAAAGGTTAGCATGTCACAAACAAGCCAGGTTTTCAGGTGGTGGTTTTCTAACTGAACCTAGAGTAAGATTCAGATCTGGAGAGCATCTTGGTCCTGGAACAAACTGCCTGATGACCACTATTTTTCGAACGCTTATGATTCGTTATTATACTACACTGTTGGTGTGTGTCTGTAGTTTATGTTTGTGGGTTTTTTCGGTTATTCAGTCGTGTGGTGTTTTTTTCCGTGCATTCCTTCTCGTTATCGTTGCCTTTTCTTCTGCATGTACCCCGTTGCTGCATGAATTTGAATACGAAACATGTTGAGTTTACTTGTAATGAAACGCACAGTATAATACAACATTGTGTTGCGTTACTGAGCTGAGTTCAGGAGCAACGATCACGGTCAGGGATGACCCAACTGGCTGTAAAACTCGTTTTGTAGCAACACTACACTGTTAACTGATGTGCACATGTTCTTATTGCATTTTTATTTAAACTCTACTTGACCAGGCGAGCCTCATTCAGACAAAAGAACATTTTTCAATAGTGCCCTGGGCAAGATAGGCAAGACTACAAATACTGTATAAAAAAGGCTAAAAGAAAATATCACAAGCTCAGAATTAAAACATAACTACAACAGTTTGTGGTTTAAAAGCAAAGTGTGGCAAACACAGGATAATATGATAATGTTGCAGTCAAGCAAACCATATAATAAATGAGTATACAATGTGTATGAGCATTTAGTAACCATGCCAACATGTATACAGTATATGCATGTCAGCATGCAAGTGTGAATTGACACTTTTCTGACACAGAAAAGCAGTTTAGAAAGCAGTGCATTATGCTTGTGTCCTACTTTGTGTTATTTCCGCAGCTCATTAAAAGTGAGCGAAAAGCAGAAACCGCACGGCAACTATTCCCTCAATAACATCACAACACAAAATCCCTTTTCATCACGTTGCTACCTGTTCATCGTTATTTATGTCCTATGCAGTCCGGTAGCAGCCTCCACGAATAGCGCTCGTAATCAGAGAGCTCTCTGTGACACTGAGAGCGGTGAGGCCCACTGAAGTAGAGATTCATGTCCAATGAATGAGTCACCTGACAGTCCGTATGATTCATATGATGCGTTTCCTCCTGTGGCAGTGGTGGAATGTAACCAAGTACATTTATTTATGGGACATTTTGTTTTATTTGTAATCAATGAATCAAATTGTCTAGCAAAAAAAAACAATTAAAAAAAAAAAACCTGTGGCTGTCGCAGAACTGTAAGAAGCCCGACCTGCCTGCCTCGCTGTGCACAGTCTGGAAATGAACTCATTGTGCATCGCCAAAGTCTTCCTCAAGCTGCTAGCTTGACAACGTGTCACGGGAGTTCACGGGTTAGGACCCAATCGCAAGACCACAGGAGACAGAAGTTGATATAAACAGGTTTTATTTAGCCTGAATAAAGAGAAGACAGGAAGGTGTGGAGCCCGTGGTCCGACACCAGAGAGTAGGCAGATCGACGGTGTGAGTCCCGTGGCTCGA